GGTGATTATTAAAAAATATGTATAAAGGCATGTGTTCTTTCAAAATCTTTGGCTTTTCTTTATATAATTTTTTTGTTAATGTTTAAAGAAAACATGTTTGGAGGGCATGTTTTCTCAGAATGGTATTTTTTATATAATTTTGGCAAATTTTGCTTTCTTTAAAAAATTTGGCTTTTTTTTTCTTTGAATTTTTTTGGTGTTTTTTTAAGAGAACATTTATGGTGGGCATATGTTCTTTAATTTTTTTTCTTTTTTTTTCTTAAAACGTTTGTTATTTTTACATGTAAAAGAAAACCTGTTTGTACGGTATGTTTCCTTTAAGAAAAATCCACCAGTCACTGAGGGAGGCTCATGAATAAATATTTGTAGCTTCGGGGAGGGTAAAACACAAAGTCACACTTCAGCCACCCCCCTCCTCTGATAAATAAAGAACAGTCCCTAACCTTCATGTGATCAGAGAAAAGAGATCAAAGCAGACACACAATCAAGATAGGCTCCACAATTCAAAGTGTAAAATCAACACTCGTAAACAAAACAAACAAACAAAAAGGCAGATAAAAACAGGATCACAGAGACAAAACAGACACATTCAGAGAAGCAGCAGCATTCATTAATAAGCTATCACTCAGCAGAAGTTTAAACTGTCCTGAAGCTTCTGTGTTCACATACAGCATCTCCACGGTAACAAGTACGCTGTCCCATATTTCTGAGTCTTAAAAGTGAAGATAAATGAAATGTTGGCTAATAAAACTCATTAAACTGGATCTCAGGTATTGACTCGACAACATTCAGTTGTTCAGATATTTTTTCCTGCTGCGTGTCAAACCAGCGAGACGAGCTCAGAGAACTCAGACACAAATCTGTGGTGTGATGTAATCAGTAATAACAGTTTGTTCCTGCAGATGCTTGTCACCAGTAAGACGTCGATTAAGAAAATATGTTTCCATGACCTTTAAAATTTAACAGCTCATAAGATGATTGGCTCAGAAACTTTGTGGTGGCAAACTCTGATTGGTTGGAGTGAGAGTATACATGCAAATAACAGAGTGAAGCTCTGACAGAGCGACCCTGCACTGATCTGGGATCAGCTGTTCCTGTTAGAATCAGAGAAACAAAATGAGATTGGAACAGACATGGAGCTGTCTGTCCTGGTCATAGTTTAACAGAAAATTGTGATTGTTGTTGTTATGATGACATCATACGGCTGCGGGGCCATGACATGTCACACTCACTAGTTTAAGAACTCTGACTGTCCACACTGAGCAGACGTTGATGTTCATCGTGCAGCCTGGGCCTATAACCGTGCGTCGTACAACGCCACTGCTCATTTGGTCGTTGCTGTAAAACCTCACCTCACTTAATTCACAATCCATCGCAAATGGGTTTGTACAGAAGATCAACACGAACTCATCCCAACTCTTAAAATACCACCATTTTGTTTAAATATGACATGCAGGGTACCCTCCTGTGTTCGTTTGGACGTTCAGGGACGGCGTGTCAATTTATGTTGCTTACATGCATCGTGTCTTTTCAAAATACACTTGTACAAATGTACAGTTTCTGCTCATTAGATGCATACAGTGGTTTTCAAAATAAACTTGTGAACATGTGAGAACATGTCACAGCACCTGGAGGAAACCCACGCTGACACGGGGAGAACATGTCGGAGCACCTGGAGGAAACCCACGCTGACACGGGGAGAACATGTCGGAGCACCTGGAGGAAACCCACGCTGACACAGGGAGAACATGTCAGAGCACCTGGAGGAAACCCATGCTGACACAGGGAGAACATGCAAACTCCGCACAGGGTTTGCAGCAGGACCCACTGTGCGTCCTGCTGCAAAAGATCCCTCTGAGTGTCAGAACCTGACGCCGACATCCACTGACAGAGCGGCAGTATTTGAAGAGTTGGTAGTGAGAACAGTTTGGGAAGTTAGCCACCATGTGTAGGAAGAACTGGGGCACATTTAGTCTCAAAACGCTGTGCACCGTTTTGATATTAATTTGGTTTCCAAGTTGAACGACACGTTTGCTCGAAACGATGTGCACCAGGCCATTACCTATGTTTTTTGGTTGATCTTTATGTAACATTTTTGTTTTTATTTCACACTATCCCATGCCAGTAAAGCCCCTGTTGATTAAACTGTCCTAAACCCTGCCGTATTAAAAGGCAGTGCGACTGTGTAACACAGCAGGGTGACCAACGCACCGCTGATTCTGTTTAAACATTTTACGTCTGTTTTCTTTAAAAATCTCCAAAAGGCTTTTTTCAATTCCAGGATTTCATGTTCAACTTTTAACATCAATGCTTCACTCCAAAAATATAATTTTATTTCGCTCATAATGCTCCTGACTCTTTCAGCTGTGACCACAGTACTTTGCTCTGTACGACTTTTAACTGCAGTAAAATATCTGAGTCCTTCTCCCAGCAGACGTTGATCTGCTGTGATGAAATGATGCGTTCACACGAACCCTGGTGTCATTACTGACTTCTTTTATTTAACTGTCAGTAAATCACAGAGACTGAACCAGTTTGTGGAGACAGAAACAAAACATGACAGGAATCTGTGGGAACATCGTGTGTTCGTGTGTCGGGGTGGAGGCGACATACATTAGACATACATTAGAGAACAACACAGAGAGACAGAGAGACAGAGGTGTCTCGTCCACACTGAGGTTCAGTCCAAAAACGTCCAGAAGGTAAGACCACACTCCGTCTGTCTCTGTCTCTGTAAAAAGTAGGAACTACTTGGATCCTTTACTGATACCACACTGTAAAATACTCACTGCATTAAATATGTTCGTAAAGTTAATCAGTAAAATTCATTTAAAGTATTAAAGTATCAGATGATTGTGACTCAGCGCAGGATGTTTCTGTTTGAGCTGGAGCTCATTCTTATCTATTAACTAATGATTATTTTTGTTATGGATTCATCTGAGTTATGATGGCCCAGTGCCAGGCTTTGCATCGAAACAGCTGCCGTATGTTTCATAGTATTGTCACATGATCAAATTCAGACACACACCCAATCATCACTGCAAATCTGTATCTGACAACAATACCAAATAAAATAAGAAATGATTCATTGAAATGATTTTTTGAAATAGTTTATTTATAGTTTTTATATTTTCTGTGTAAAGAAGAAAGAAACACTGACGGAGATGTGTTTGACTTGTGGAGGGCAGATACAGCATCTGCAGTTTAACGTGAGTTCTTCTCTGAACACCACAAATTTCTGAGGTGGCGAGTTGAGTCACTCACAAGGGCCCGTTCTCTGCTCCACTCAGACTCAGTGTGAGGGTTTTTGTTTTTTAAATATTTTGTCTTTATATTTTAGTTTATTTTTCCTTCTCTTTCCAACCAAACATCTTTTTTTAAAACCCTGATGACATTTTCTCAGGGAAAGACCTGACGACCTGACAGTGTACGTTGGGGCTCCAGCTGCATTTAGCGCGAGAGCGGACTAAACCATTTTAAGCCTTGAAGGGGTGAGACGGGCCTCAGGGAGCGTCCACAATTTTATTTACACAAGGTCTTTCAACTGATTTATTCAGCTGATTTAATTTAGTTTTTGGCCTGTCTTACTTACAAATAAAAAAATTGCAAACAAAACCAGCCTTTTTCGACTTAAAATCTTTCTCCAATTTCAGGAATTAGTCAGAGTCACTTTCTTCACATATTATCTTCAAAGTGTACTGTTGTAAATAAACATTTTTGGAAATATTACAATAATCTGGAAAATTACAACATGTCTTTCTCCTAAAATAATTCAACTTTCAAACTATTGCAATTTTTTGTCTTGAAACACTATGACTGAAATATTTTAAGTATTATTTCAAAATACTTCAACTTTAAATTTAAAATGTAAAAACTTTTTTAGAAAAATATTCTAGCTCAGTTATATACTTGTAAAATACGTTTGTTTGTAATACTTCAACTTTTTCAGTATCACATATTGTTCTGACTTTTTCTGTAAATGTTTAAACTGCTTCTCATCAGACTTTGTTAAAAACATTTTAAGGTACATAAAATTTGATGAACAGATTTTGTTGTTAAATTTAAACATAGAATAAACAAAGCTGCAGGAATTAATCTTCACATGTTTAACGTTTGTTTCCTCAGAGCTCTGACTCGTGTTGATCAGTAACTTTATTTTTAATATCACTGACATATTATAATTGCTCAACGTAAATACGTGTCGACAACATTAATTAATCTTTTAAAACAGAATCATCTCAGGAGTGAAAACAAAGCAGAACCTAGAACCCTCTCACAGGTTCTCCGGGTCCACGTGGAGCTGCAGGTCACAGGCTGTTCAAAAGATCCACGTGGTGTTTCGTTGGAGCTGCAGAGACGCTGATGGCTTAATGTCTCAGAGATGCTTGTCAGACTCATTCTTGTCTTGTTTTTCGGGCTCTTTAGTTTGAGGGCTCCCGGCTGATCTCAGAGCTGTCAGCTGAACAACAGGTGACATTTACAAATGAAGCGTCTGCAGGTGTTTCATCCCCGACAGTCAGAGACCCGTTAGACCTGTTTGTCTGCAGCATTAACAGGGTTTAAAAAGATGTGAGTTTAGTTTGATCTGCTGTTGATGCAGATACCTTCATGAAGACACGTTCAGGGCTCACTGACACTCGTCATTTAAAATAAAATCCACATGATGAAGAGTTTTTCATTCACACGCAGACACACGTCTGTGTCTCTGTTGGTCAGATCAGAAATCTGATTCTAAGACAGGTCCTTCCAAGTCGACTCCTACAGAGACTATATAGGCAAGACTCCTTCCTACCATTCCTCAAACACACGCTGTAACAGGTTACCGAGTTCCTAGGTGTTCGTCATTGAAGAAGCCCCGCCTCCAATTAAGGCAAATTGTGCACAAAGAATTGTGGGTACTGCATGTAAACATGTGCTTAAGTTACTTCTGTAACTGTGTCTCTGAGCAACCTGTTTTATCTTTACACTGAATGTACTGTTAACATGATGTTAGCCTGACCTTAGCACGATGTTAGCCTGATCTTAGCACGATGTTAGCCTGACCTTAGCATGATGTTAGCCTGACCTTAGCACGATGTTAGCCTGATCTTAGCATGATGTTAGCCTGACATTAGCACGATGTTAGCCTGATCTTAGCACGATGTTAGCCTGACCTTAGCATGATGTTAGCCTGACCTTAGCATGATGTTAGACTGACCTTAGCATGATGTTAGCCTGACCTTAGCATGATGTTAGCCTGACTTTATCACGATGTTAGTATGACTTAAGCATGATGTTAGCTTGACCTTAGCATGATGTTAGTATGACTTAAGCATGACATTTACATGAGTTTAGCACAATGTTAACCTGACTGTAGCTTGACTTTAACATGATATTAGTTTAACCCGCCACCTCTGCGCGCCCATTGCCAGTCTCCCTCTGCATCTCTCCTTGGGCTCTGCGTTGTGTTTTTGTTGTTAAATGTGGCGGTGGAGCGCCGTGCTTGCAGGTACAAAGGAGGCACTGAAAGCGGGGTTCTGGATTGTGGTCGACCTGGACCACAGTTTTATTCTTCAAAGCAAACATTCAGTGCGATCCCTGCTGCTGGCATCTCATCCTCAAAAGTACGGCGCCAGAGACAATTTACAATCTGAACATGGCGTCCCAAAACAAAAGCAAATCTTAAAGCTACGGCGTCATGCCAGGGACAAACAGTGCAAAATGCTACATTTTTCGTAAAATAGACAACAGCGCCTTCTACTGCCTTAAATAGGTATCTGCCTTACATCAGCATGAGTGTACCTTGATGTTAGCAGGACGTAAGTATGACATTAGTATGACTTTAGCCTGTGTTTTGCATGATGTCAGCACAACTTTAGCATGAGTGTAGCCTGCTGTTAACATGAGTTTAACATGAGTTTAGCATGATTTGAGTATGACTTTAGCATGATGTTATCATGAGTGTAGCCTGACGTTAACATGAGTTAAGCATGATGTTAGCCTGTTTTTAGCATGACGTTAGCATGACTCAAACATGACCTGCTGTGTCTCTTCCAGTTTTCTGTTAGCTGACTGTCCTCCTCCAACATGCTCCGCCTCCTGCTCTACCTGGCTGCACTCAGTCAGCTCACAGGTAAACACACACCTGACTTCACCCAGCTCCACCTGCACCACCTAAACTCACGGTGTCATCTGTTCTCATAGCTCTGACGAAAAAACTGTTATACTTTGAGAATCCAACTTCAGTATTACAACTTTTATCTCAAAATATTATTATTATTATAATATATGGTTATTATTATTAGTAAAATACTATGAATATAATCTTTGAAAAAAAAATTAAATATTATGACTTTATCCTCGAAATAATATCAGTGAAATATAATATATATTTTTTTGCCTGAATATTACAACTTTAATCTTACATATTTTAACTATAATCTCAAATTATTTGATTTCTGTAATTATGACTTTTTCTTCTTGAAATACTACAACCTTACTCTCAAAGCATTTTTCTATTAATCCAGAAGCATTATAATTTTATGTCCAATAATTTCTCTAAATAGTAAAACCATTTTCTCAGAATATTATAACATTTGTCCCTTTTAAGACTTAAATCTCAAAATATTACATTTAAAAAAAAAAAAAAAGCCCACCTTGATATGGCGACTCAAATCTCAAGACTTGATTTCTTTTATCTTTAAATATTATGACTTAAAAAACAAAGTTTTTTTCCTTGAAATGATAGAAATCAACATTTGATTTTAATATAAAAATATTATGAATTTAAACTTGAAACATTTTGACATAAATGTTGAAAAGAAAGAAAGAACTTCTCCTGAAAATATTTCACTTTATTTATTTTTTTGTCAAATTTCAAACACTTATTTCAAGATTTTCAAAAAATATTGACTTAATCTTGAAGTATTCTCTTGATACTAATATTTCAAATATTGCTTTCTCTTTGAATATTATAAACTGAATCTCAAAATATTCTGGCTTTTAACTTTATTTGTCACTGTGAGCTAACATTTTATTTGCAGCTCTTCCAGATGACTAACTTTATTTCTGAACTCTCACCATGTCTGCAGGTGGACAACAACAACAAATTTCCACCTGCACTGTGACTGGCCCAGCTGTCATTGATTTCAGCAGCAATGTTGGTGCTGTCGGAGATCACTGCGCATTCACTCTGGTGTCAGGTGCGGGCCTCCAGGTGATTGGTGCCTTCAAGGAACGCCGCCGTCAAGACGTTAGTTTCTTGGACCATGTGATCCTGCAAGTGGACGGGGCGAGTGATAACGTTCAGCTGAATCAGGGTGGTAAAGTGCAAGTAAGCGGTCTGCAGCTACACTGACTTTTAAAAAATTCAACAGGCAGCAGAATGTTAACTACCTCACATATGCAGATGATACTCAACTTTATATTTCAGAAAACCGTCAGACTTAACGACTTGGTGTGGAGGGTTATTCAGACAGAACTCAGATACTTCACATACTAATACTTCAATGATCACAGACATCACAGAAAAAGACAACATGTTACTACAAAGACACAAAACAACAAAGTGATGCAAAAGGACCAAACAGGAGTGTTTTCAGTCCGAGGTTAACTTTCAGCAAGAAGTTTGATGAATCCAGGCTCAGGTCTAACTGATCACTGGTTTGTTCTCAGTTGTGTTTGTCGGTTTCTGCAGGCGGGCGACACAACGCTGAGCCTGAGCAGCACACCTCAGACTGAGAACAGCGTGGAGCTCTCAAAGGATGAAAACACAGTCACTGCCAAAGTGACGCTCTCCACCCACACCATCACTGTCATCTTCGACGGCACCACCGCACACATCCACATGATAGGTGCAGAGATACACATCCTATGTGGTTAAAAAAGTCCTTGTTGTGTGTATGTGCTGGATGATGGGATGTAGGGAGGTCAAACACAAAACCTGACAATGTGAGTCTGGTACAGACCGAAGATTCACAATGACACCAAACAAGACAAGATTCACTGACAAATTAATTGTCTTATACTAAACATGTTATCCCCACAAAAACAACATACTAACATTATTAGCACAAGCCTATGGCATTATACGTTGTATAAATTAGCCTAGCAGCTAGCTAAGTTTTTCTCTACTCATACGAAGCCAGGATAAATCACACACAGGACTTAAGATGCAGGTCTTCAGTCAGTTATGCTGTATTTAACATCTTAGATTTAGTTTCATCCACAGGTCTGTGCTGATTCATTCACTCCTAAATAATGCTTTGTCATCTTTGGCGATGTGGTCGCCCACTGACATCAGTCCAATCAGCTGCTCCTGTGCGCTCAGCTCATAGGTGGAGCTCAAACTCAAAGTACTTAAGTGATATTTTAAATCTGTTTGACACAAGGTGCAGGTTACTGCTGACTGTCAGCCGAGCTGTTTGAGAGTTTTTAAAATGAAAGGAGACTTTCAGAAGCTCAGTGGTGTCGTTATTTTCCATCACTGCAGCAGCAGGGAGCTGGATGTTCAGACCTTAATCACATCGCGATTAATGCGTTAATGCCTTCATCTATAACGCGATTTTCACAGCAATTTTAATAGTGGCCCAACAGTGGTACTGCAGTTTCCAGGTTCATGTGACACCCTGAAGTCCAAAAAGACTTTTCCCCATTGACTTACATGGCGAAAGAAACGTCTGTAAATCAGTGGATGCATTTCTTTGAGCATAACCAAGTTAAATGACTCGTCCCGCTATCATGATTTGATCCATTTGGTCTGATAACATTTGGAAAGTCTAGAAAAGCTCAGCTTGCCTTCCTTAAGTCTTTAATGCACCTGCTCTACGGGCCCAATGATGCAGAAGCAGCGCCAGTCATCAGGGTAATCTCACGCTGCCTTCATGCGCAACTTAGCAACTTTTATAGGAATGAACGGGGCCCCACCACCAATGCTGTATCCAGGAAGGGCGCCGGGCTTTGACACCAATTTTCTTAGTAGCCAAACAGTGGTACTGCAATTTCTGGGGTCCGTCCTGTGATGCCCTGCGGCCCAAAAATACATGGACTCACACTGTGAAAGAGACGCCTATAAATCAGTGGATACACAAAATGACCTGTCTCGCTATGATTTGATTCATTCAGCCCGATAACATTTCCAAAGTCTCAAAGAGCCGCATGACCAAATCATTTTGTCACCATTCAAGTTAGCAGAGCACGCAAACAGAAGTCAGCCACTCGGCCGGCGGAAGTTAGCCGCTTGGCTGCCGTAAGTATCTAGCGTACTTGCTCTATGGGCCCAGTGATGGGGTAGCAGCACTGATCTCCCAGGTGATTTCATACTGCCTTCATGCACCACAGAGAAACTTTCATGGGAATGAATGGTGCCCCGCCACCAATGCTCTATCCAGGTCTCTAAATGCATCCATGGAGTTTACAGACTGGTGACTCGCAGCCACCACCGTCCAACGCCAACCACAAAAGCACCACCAACACGTACAAAATAGACATAAGACCATAAGCATTGGTGCAAACTGGCAGGTTTTCAAAACTTTGCAGACCGGAGTTTCGCAAGTAAGTGTGAGTTTAACATGTCTCGTGGTGAATCTTCGGTCTGAACTCAGCTTTGAAATCATTCAGAGAGATGAATGAGCAGCTTTATGTTCTGATCCAGATCAGGGTCAGTCGTTACAGGGACTGGAGTGCATGTGGACTGTTTTGTCTCTGCAGGATCGCCCACCCAGACCCAGACGGGTTTATGTGTGGACTCCAGCAGCTCTCAGGATGAACTGAAGGACGATGACTTAAGCTCCGACAGGTAAGAGATATCTTCAGCACCTGGACGTTCACAGACCGCTGCTTCATCACATTACTGAGGTCTTCTGCTGTTTGTTTGTCGCCCCCTAGCTGTGGGAAGCAGTCCACTGAATCTAACAAAAACGGGATCGAGTGCTCCAAGATGACTCAACAGTGAGCGGAGCCACACCTGAACACACACTTTCCTCTTATCCAATGAAACATCAGATATGTGTCACACATTGTTTATCTCCCGCTACAGCTGTGAGCTCCTAAAGGCGGCGCCGTTCACCTCCTGTTCCATCGGCCCTGATCCCTACTTCACCGCCTGCAAGGATACGCTATGTAATTACCCGGCGGTGGACGGTCTTGGTTGTCAGTTCCTGGAGGCGTACGTCGGAGTCTGCAGACTGCAGAATGATGCCACACTGGACGACTGGAGGTCACAGACCGGCTGCTGTAAGAGCGTCCATCACTACCTCCTGCTCTGTAGTTACCAACAGTCCAGCAGTGGTGTCTGACCGAACTATCTGTGTCTGCAGCACTCTCTCAGAGCTCCTGTCAGAACACCTGTGGCGGTCATGAATTCTGTGGTGAAGACATCAGTGGTAACCCCGCCTGCCTCTGTCGGGGTCACTTTGCCTCCAAATACAGACAGGCAGATTCTCTGGGTAAGAAATCAGATCTCACTCCGTCCACCATCACTAGTCTTCACAGGTGTCCCTGAAACTGTCTCACAACATTTACGAATTTCTGATGTTTTTTCGAAGAGGACGTGACGAGAGGAACGGATCAGCACATTTCACTGCCGTCGCCCACCTGAAACACTCTTTGTGTTTGAAGGGCGATGTTGTGAACGTCAGCTCTGGGAGGTGAAGGGTTAAGAGGAAGGTTGTTGTGTTTCCAGTTGAGGAGGAATACAGCAGATGGCAAATCCTCAGAGGAGTGCATGAGCTTTATGTTGAAGTAAAACACTACAGTCGGAGGAAGTGATATAAACACTGACTGTGATCCTCAATGAGGACATGAGAAACTGTTGCTTGACAACAATAACATCACAGAAACAAAGAAGGTAATCATGTCTCAGAAGTCTGAAATTCACCGTTAACGAACATAGATGCAAATATTAATTCACATTTAACACAAAATCAATATTTAAAGTTCCGGTGTGTCAGATTTAGGGGGATTAAGTGGAGTCTAGCTGTCAGGATTACAGACAGCAGTGTTACTGTAATTCTGACAGCTGTTTTAGATTTAGGTTATTAGTTTAGATTTAGTCTTAGTCTTGATGGTTAGGGTTAGTTCATTCATGTAGTCCGATGTTTTCTATATGTTTTTCTCTTTAAACTAATCCAGTGAGTCTGATTCATGGATCATAAATCAGACACAAAGTGACAGGTTGTATAAAATAATGTGTGTGTCATGTCTCCAGCAGTGTGTGACAGGTTTAAGGGCTGATTTACGAGCACACACTTACTGATCATCATCTGAAAAGCTCAACATCTCTCTATTTATGCTCTCAACAAATAACTAATGTGAGCCAACTAGGATTTGTCCCCAGGTTCATTGTAAACTCTGACTTATCCATGTGACTGTTAAGAAGCAGAAACATAACTTGTTTCTTCATGTGCAACATGTTAGTCTGGAGGTTTAAACTGGTGTCCTCTCACAGAGTTGGTGATTCAAACTAAACTTTCATCTCTGTCAGAGAAAACTGATCTGAGTTCAGACTGTTTACTTACAGCACAGCTACACTCACAGATAACTGAGCCTCCTACCTGCCTGTCAAACACCATCAACCCACAAACCTTCTCCAGTCCGGACTGAGTGGAGTCCTGTGGGGTGAAGCTGTGAAGGCTGCGAGCGGAGCTAGCTGCTAACAGCCACCGCTGCAACTAACAAACTCCACAAATCCATTCAGCAGCTCCACCATCCACAGTCAGACACACACGGCTGATTATTTACTGCTGAATTACAGCTCACAACTCGCACCAACGGCTGACGCTGCTCCACTCTGACTGTTTCTGCTGGATACTGACACGTTAACCAGCCTGTTGCTCATGCTGCACCTGTAGATAATTACAAGCACGGCCGTTCTCGGCTTTTGATGTCTGACAGTTTACCACTGACATTTTCACCACGTCTCATCAACGAAAATGAGACTTAGATTTCATCTTAGTTTTTATTATCAGGATCTATTTTTAGCTCGTCATCATCTTGTTTTCATCGTGGAAAAAAGGTTGTCTATGATTTTTCTTTTTTTTTTGTCATAGTTTTGTCAATGAAATTAACACCATTTCAACCAGATTTCAACCAACTGAAACTTCTCCTGGTTGGAATTATACACTAAAGAAAACACACTGATTAGATTATACTGACTTTCTGTCCCCCTAAATCCTACACACTGGTCCTTTAAAAATGCTTTTCATTTGTTCTTAATTTTTGATGTACAAACAACAAAACTATTTTTTCTTGTTTGTTTCTGTCTCCTCTCGGAAGTTTGTGAAGCAGCAAACAGAGGTATACAGTTGTGTATCATCTGCGAAACATATATTTGATATTGTGCTGACTCATGATGTTTCCCAGAAGCAGCAGGTGAAAAGAAAGTAGAAAGGGGCCCAGAATACTTCCCTGGGGAACGCCTCAATCAATATTAACACAATACAACAATACACTAACAGAAAACTTTCCTTTTTCCCTGTTCAGGTGACGCGACGGTGTGTGGGGACAACATGGCTTCAGTTTCTCTAGCTGCTTGTCTCCTGGCAGAAAAAGGCATCCACCACTCTGACTTACATCTCAACGAGCAAAGCTGTGGAGGGGTGTTTGATGAAGACAGTGGTATGGTGACCTTCACCTTCAAGTCCAGCAAGTCCTGTGGAAGTTTGATCACGGTGGGTGCCTCTCCTTTACTAAAGGCCTCCAACAAATTGTTGTCAGAGTCTGAAGTCTCCTTTCTGACGTCAGTTTCGGGGGACTGAGTCCAACGAGCTTTGCAACTTTCCGAAAAAGAAAATCTGACAATCAGGCCCACAGGGTTTGAACTAATTTTTAACACAACTACTTCCATCGTCAGCTGAGCGTTACACCACAAATGTTTTTTTTAATATCGTCTGAAAGTGTCCTCCATTTGTACGATTTGTGGCTACAGAAATGCCGTCAATATAAATGTAGTCTGTTACAGCCTGATAAGCACTTCGTCTGAAAAGGCCTTGAGTTTAAAGTTTCCTGCATCTCTAATATCCTGCAGTGACACCATCTGACTCCCTCTGACTCTGCAGGCCAAAGAAAACAAAATCTTCTACGAAAACACCATCACGACCGACAGCTCCACTGGTCCGATCTCTCGCCAAAACCCAGTAGAAGTCAGTTTCTCCTGCTTCTACAACCAGCCGGAGGACCAGAGCATGGCCTTCACAATAAAAGGAAGGTGAGAAGGTCAACACCTTGTACCATCGTAAGTCACAGCTTTTAAAGGGAAATTTCGGTTTATTTCAACCTGTCTCCTATCATCCTAAATTTGTTTCAAATGACTAGTGACATAAAAATAATAGTTAGCATGTTAGCCGTTAGCCTAGATACAGCCGGGTTGCATAGTAGCGTCAGACCTGTTACAACATAAGTGAACGGGCAACCTTCAAGTGCAAAGTTAGTCCACTAAACAAGCTTTTTTTTCCACAAAGACCGCCTCATATCGTTAGGATAAATGTCAGAGAACATATAGAAAACGACATGTAAACATGTTGTCTTACCTTACCGGTGTGCTGCCATGTTTGTTTGCCATTTAACTCTGCTTTCTAAAGAGCGGCCGAAATACTGTATATCTGGCGAGCTCTAGATAAAGCCCAGCTGGATACTACTCCAGGTGGAGGTGTCTCGTCCTCGGTCACATCCAGACCTTGAAAATAAGGCTGCAACCGGTCCCATTCCTTGCAACAGAGGCATTCCTCTTCTGTGGGCACTGGGGCACAGCATTCACAGGTACACCACCAATCTCCAGAGCTACGCAGCCTTGCAGCAGCCATTCCTCCTCTCTCGTCCTCTACCTGTTGCGCCTCTCTCTCTCTCTCCTCCTCCGTTCTTCAATTTCACGAAGCTCTTCGTCAGTGTATCCTTCCAGCTGTTGCTGCTTGTTCAGGCACGCTATGAGATCGCTGCTTGTTCTCGCAATATTTCGGCCGCGCTTTGGAAAGCAGAGCTAAATGGTAAACAAACATGGCAGCACACCGGTAAGGTAAGACAACATGTTTACATGTCGTTTTCTATATGTTCTCTGACATTTATCCTAACGATATGAGGCGGTCTTTGTGGAAAAAAAGCTGTTTAGTGGATTAACTTTGTACTTGAAGGTTGCCCGTTCACTTACGTTTTAACAGGTCTGACGCTACTATGCGCCCAGGCTGTATCTAGGCTAACGGCTAACATGCTAACTATTATTTTTATGTCACTAGTCACTTGAAACAAATTTAGGACGATAGGAGACAGGTTGAAATAAACCAAAATTTCCCTTTAATAACTTGTAGATCCTGTCCCTCCTGGATGCTGTGATCACAGCAATTCAAACAAAGTCAGCCAATCACTGTGAATTCTGCGTGACCATTTAAAACAGATAAAATCTCAGGGCGTCGGTGGCTTAGTGGTAGAGCAGGTGCCCCATGTACAAGGCTGTTGCCGCAGCGGCCCGGGTTCGAGTCCAGCCTGTGGCCCTTTGCTGCATGTCCCCCCCCCCCCCCCTTCACACTTACCTGTCCTGTCCATTAAAGGTAAAAACACCCTAAAAAATATCTTTAAAACAGATAAATCTCATGTCCCTAACCCAGATATCAGACCCCAAGATGGTACCTATTCATTCCAGTGTAGTAAACGCCAAAAGAAGCTTCACACTTCAGGTTTACGTCAGTAGTACGCGGCCCAAAAAATATGTGCAGTAGCATTTCTCCCGTTGGCCCCGCCCACATGTTCCCGCTCAGACTTTACATTGTGATGATGTCACAGATTTTTAAAATCTCTCAGCTTGAGATACGTTTTACAAATATAAAACCTCCATGGATCAAAAATTCAGAATAGAGAGAGTCATGATTGGGCTATTTGCAGTTGGAGGTGTCTCGTAACAGTTTTACAGGCGTCTCTTTTATAATGGCGGCCGATTTTTGGGCTGCATTTTATTTCATTTTGCTGCAATACTGCAAGTGGCCACTGGGAAACATTGGAGGCGAGGCTGAGCGCTGTTTCTGGGGGCCTGTCGGGACAGAGTCACACACACTTTACTTACTGTTAGCATCACATGCAAATGTTACTCAACGTCTGTTAATGGGTTTAATGACAGAGTCGAACTATTTCAGTGTCGGTGTGAGATTTTTGCGACCATATGGCTCGGTGTGGCTGTGTTCATGCTAACCAGGCAGTGAGACAGACAGAGAGAGCAGGAGGAGAGTAGCTTATGGAGTCCTTCAGTGCTACTCTGAATGGCAGCTATAGCTTATCGGCGGCAATCAGCTGTTGCTGGACGTCAGGATGTCAAACTAACTCAGCAGCAAAAACAGGTTAGAAAGATAAAGACAGACAGTAAAGGCTAAAGTACAGATCACAGAGTAACAGTGAACCATCACATCACTGATGATCGAGACAGGAGACAATTGATGATATTCAACCAGCTGTGTGTCATCACAGTGTGTGCAGATGAATGATATTTGACACATAGCCGCTTGAATATCAGCAAAGTTTCCCTGTTTCCTTCACTGGTTCCCGTAGAGCAGGTCGGTCTTTATTCACTGTCAGAATAATTAAAACTCAAAAGCAGCATGTCTTCACATTCAGTAGGCTGTACCTTCAGGAGCGAGCTAACCCTAGACACTTCAGGGTTTAATTTTAGAACGAGGAGGACACGTACATCTCCTTCAGCTTCTCCAGCTAAGTATCACTGATACATGACGAGCTCCAGACACGACGTTTAGATCCACAAAACCAGCCTGAAAATGAAGGAAATCTGAAATGACTGAATGAGAGTCAATGGGACACAGAGGTGAAGCTGTCGGACCCTTGTCTGAGCTGGCCGATGCTATGCTATGATTGGCCAGTCTATGTTTGAGGGGAGGGACTTAGTGAAGGTCGATTAGAGCTGAGTTTGTGGAGGAAAAACTGCACCAAGGTTCAACAAGTAGTAGTGATGTGCCGATCTGACCCGTGTGTGTGTGTGTGTGTGTGTGTGTGTGTGTGCGCGCACCCTGCAGCGATGGTTTAAAGCAGATTGTAGCTGGATCTTGGAGTTACGGTGTGAAAATGGGCATGTTCTCCGACCTCGCCTGCACTCAACCCGTCGACTTTTCAAATGGGTTAACGACGGACATGATCATCTACATGAGCCTGGACAGTGATGGGCTGGATCCCTCCATCATCACCCTGGTGATCAAGGACTGCTGGGCAACTGACACGGCGGATGGCAACGGTCAGAGATACAACCTCATCGAAAATGGGTGAGCTGCAGGATTTGTTTCACAGAAGAACACAGAAACACAGAAACGTGCATTCACACCTCCATCAGCTGTGTGTGTGTGTGTGTGTGTGTGTGTGTGTGTGCACAGAGAACTCACAGGAAAAACTGATTCAAAAATATGTTGTATGTCATTTATTTAACATTTATGGTTTTTAACCATCTGATGTTTCTGGAATTTGCACATCTGGTTTGCGCACCTTATTGATACCTATATTGTTAATGTCTGGATCTATTGAGAGGCCCCTCACTGCAGTGTGCATTTCAGGGCTGAGCTTGATGTGGGTGGAGTCTAACATTGAGCGCCGCCCTGTGTGTGTAATTACCACTGTGTTAGTTGCCAGTTAGTTTGCTGGTATCTCATGACTCCTCTCCGCCTCACTCACGCCTGTGAGACTACTTTTTACGTAAGGAGAAAGGCCAGCACCTCCGGAGAGGCTGAGACAGACTTAGTGAAGCAACTTGAATTCTGAGAGCTAACCTGCAAACTGCTAACCCGCTAACCTGCTAACCTGCTAACCTGCTAACCCACTAACCCAGTGCCGGGGGCCACAGCAGGCTGGTGTTACATGTTTTCAAGGTTTCAGTGTTCAGAATTTAAAAGTATTGTCCACTTTTCAGTGGTGCCATAGAGTAAGACAAACATGCTCAGTGTGGGCGGAGGAAAATGTTTGACTCCGCCCACATTGATTGTCCATGGATCTATTTTCTTTCCAACTCTGTACTGCAGTACTGTACTACTTCAAGCCTCAGTGTGCAGGAATGTGTCCCATCTAACGTTGAAATCATATATTGCATTCAAACACATAGCGCACTCTAGCACCTCACTGTTTCAAACGCGTGTTGCAACTACGGTAGCTGCTGTGTACCAAAAAGCTATGATAACATTGATGAAACCATGTCATGGGATACTTCATGGAGTATTCATTCAGGCTGCTACACAGACACACGTGACACCAGGTGACAAACCCCCTCCTCACCATGCTGGCTGTGTTTACAGCGTAGGACTGTTGGGGCGGGTGTAAATCCAAACAAACCAATCACGTCTGGTCTTTTGACGACTGACAAGTGGCTCAACCTCACACACCTCATCCCTCTCCTCACATCACTGGCCTGTGACTGCATTACCTTTCTCCTTCAGCAGCTCTCTCCACCTGGGAAAGGCTGCCCCAATGTTCACCCTCGTTTTTTGAATTCGCTGCTCACGTTGCCTTTTTGATTCCCTTTGCGCTTTCCTGGCGACGAAGATTGCGTCTCCCGTGATGCTGCATGTGCATGACCCTGCATTATGCTCAGAGAGCGGGACAGTGTTATGCTGCAGTAGTGCCGGGGTCGTAGTGAAGCGCCTCTTGCTCCTCTCCTTCGGCTCCTCAGTCACGCAGCGCTGGCATAAGGCGGGGCTGTATGTCCCTCGCTGGCGGAGGTATTCTCAAGATGGTGAAACGTAATGGAACCCTCCAGACGACTTACCCACACAATGTACAAACAAATCTGAAATTCTCCTTTTACCAGAATAAGTCAGATTATTGGTGGAGGTAATGAAACACCAGTGATGACATGTTTATGAATGCAGACATCAACAACAATGTTTTTTCCTTTTTTTTGCCTAGGCGAGGGGCATATGAACAGTTGTGTTTCGTATTTATTTTGATTTTTAATGAAAATGAAAACACGCGGGCAGGTTGAGAAGGCATTAAACAGTTTTTGGTTATTTAAAAAAAAAAACTTGTTTGGAGGGTGTACTCTCTGAAAAACTTTTCGGTGATTTTCTTTTTTTTAAAACACTTTTCGTCTTTTTTTGTTTCTTTAAAATCTTTGATGTTTTTTTTTCCTCTAAAAATCTTTGGCAGTTTTTTATTTTGAGTTAGGGGAGGGGCATACAAATGTAAATGGCTGTGTTTTGAATTATATTTTATTTCTAAAAATGTGCCTTATAAACCCACTGGCAGGAAGACATGTTCTTTAAAAACTGTAAAAAATAAATAAAATAAAATTAGATAAATAAAAAAAAGAGGCTTTTTCCAAATCCAGCTCGTAGTAATTACATTTAGAATATGAACCAGAATCTATGAACTGAAGTCTGCTGATGTCATTTTGAAATTAAGTTAAAATTTCTGGAGCCTGGAAAATAAATGAGTTATTATAGTAGTATTTCTCATTTCTATTATCATACAGAGGTCATGTTTAGTTTGTCTGACTGTGACACTGATTGAAATGGTGCCTGACTGGTTGTAGAGATGTTGGATCATGTGGAGACTGTGGATCACAGGAGACCAAACTTTTTGTTTCCTGCCTCTGAGCAGCTGTGGGAACCCGGACGACAACACAGTGAGTGTGGTGCCGAACTCAAAGGGAGGGACCGTCATAGCATTCCAGATGTTCCAGTTTAAGGGGAACAACGACGGCATAAACTTGAACTTCAACATGAAGCTGTGTCTGAAGAGCAACAAAAGCTGCATGCCGGTATGACTGTTATTATAGTCTAGCTCATTATAGCCTCTATCAGTCTCCATGTAGTCAAAGTGTCTCCAAGTTTCTCTTTCTGCAGTGTCCCATGGATACACAGACAATTATCACTGACTTTGATACTGAAGAAAACTTAAACATTGTGTCTGTAACTGTGAATCAGAGTTGCCTGAGCAAACGCCGCAGACGGAGAGCTGGACGGCGTCTGTTTGAAGACAAGAAACCAGCCCAAGTCTCCATGTCCTGGACTTAGGTAAGACACGAGTCTGCTGCTGGCTGCTTCCATCAGGCTACAGAGCGTTTCAAAATCAGGTGCATGAACTGGAACGGAAACTGTGTTGGTGGAAAAGAGGTTTCTAATACAAGAGGTAATCAGTTTGATGAAGCTGAAGGTGACTGGATGAAAACGAACCAGGAGTCGGCGTGGCCACAAGGAGGGGAGGGTCTTCATGTGTTCACAACAAAGAGGCAACAGAGGTCACTCAGTCTGTTTCCATGTCGTCAGAGGAAATTAATTTATTGTGTCAGTCTTTTAAAATCCCTGTAAACATGTCAGTGTGAGTGAAATGGTCCTGCAGTGAATGTGTCACAGTGGGACTAACACACCCAGATCATGTGACTCCTGCATGTATACAGTCAATCAGACCCAAACTGGCCGAGGCGCTCTGAGCATGCTCCACAGTTTCCGCCCCGGGCTTTGACCCGGAAGTCCAATAGCATTAAATGTGTAAGAGAAGAAGAAGCCGGTAACAACATGGAGAAATCTACATCCAGAGCCGTGACTTTTTGGACGGACCAAATGTACAGAGCTGTAAAGTTGTCCACCATGGTAGCAGTTAGCTGCTAGCTAACCGTAGCTAACTTGTTTGTCCATTGTTTGGTCTGTGACGTAATAGGTCAACAGGAAAAAGGTCCAATACTAACAAGCTGAAAGGGGGCATATCTCCACCTATCGTAGAGGAGTCGCGCATACTTGGCTCAATAAATGGATTCCCCTCCCGTGCTTGTATACTGGGACAAGGACAGTAGGCCAGTTAGATGTCCTCGTCCAGCTGGGACTGGAGCTCCACTTCACTGTGACTGGAGACAGACTGACTGTTAGAAATGGTTCCTGCAGGTCTGAAGAAGACACCTGTTCATCACACAGCAGGACTGATGAGACCTTTGTTCTGGTTCTTCTCAGGTTGTTTCCATCTTGGAGTGACTGACCCGCCGTCGACCTTCAGAATGATTCGCCCCATATCTACAGTCTCTTCATGTGAGCTCCATTATCACTGGTGTGAAGTTGTGATAAAACAACCACGATTGATTCAGTCCAGTTTATGACATCTGAAGCTGTGTCTCCTGAGGTGGGAGGAAACATTCAGGTCCTGTCTGTACGCATCCAGATATTTTTAGAAAAGGATATTTTTCCCCTCCATTTAAAAAAAAAAACAAACTCCGTCCACACAACCTGGTTTTACAGAATATCTCCATCTACACTAGAACACTGAAACGACTCCAAACACTCACATGTGCAGTGTTCACACAGACAGTGTTGCTGCTGCTGCTGTAACTTCTGTATTTCCACAACTGGATGCCAGTACTCCAGAAATGTACGGAGCTGTGCAGCCGCTGAATTATCAACAACATGGTCCTGATAATATTTCACAATAAAAGCCTCGTGTTAAATAATGAAGCGATTCTGTCCACAGAAAAGTCATCGTGGACTTTTATTTTGAAACTGAAACAGGAAGTGTTGAGTAAAAAAAAAAAAAAATCATGTTTGTGAAAGATATGATAATATGATCATCAAAATACTATTTTCACTTCCTATATTTTGCAGAAAATGCAAAACAGGTGAGACTGCTTATCCCTCCATGTTCCGCAGCTGAGCCGACCTGTGGTCCGGCCGATAGCTGTCTGTCTGTGAAGTGAACAGACTAACGTTAACACCTCCTGGAGATCTCATCACCGCTGATTCCCATTCAGTTTAAAACATACAAGTCATGCTCTGGACATGTGAGAGTTTTCCTCCAACAACAATCCCACTCTGGAAAATGTCCCACCATCTGCTAGTTCCACCGGTCCTGATCCAGAACCGTCGTATCCAGTAGACTTTAAACTGCTGACACTGAGGTGGAGCAGAAACACTGAACACAGCAGACGCCTCTGGTCATCTGTGAAGTGGTGAGTTTAAAGGGGAACTAATGTTGTTTTCAACCTGGGCCCTATGTTCAGATCTACTTCTACTTATGTCCTATCACTCATTTAGACAAAAGGAGATCAGAAAATAGGGCCCAGGTTGAAAAAAACATTAGTTCCCCTTTAAGTGTGAAGTCGTCATCAGGCCGAGCAGTGCGAACAAAACATCAGCAAACCAGCAGTCCTCTATTGTTGTTGTTGTTGTTTCCAGCACAAAGCATCAATAGGCATGTGTGATTTGAGAAGATGACATCATAGTTTTCCAAACACTCCGTTTGTTCGTCCTCACAGATAAACAGAGTTTTGATAAATCTCTGTTTCAGTGACCTGAAAATTGCGTGTGGACGAGAGGCCCGAACATGGAGGCAAATATCTGGAAACGTACAGACGGGGCCTCGGTCTGATATCAGCATCACAGATACTGAGCTCCTGAAGGAACTGAATCTATAATCAATACTATCAATCAACTAAACATGGTGAAGGTTTGATTTCATATGTATCTGCACTAACAACTCTTCCTGTGACCTGTGGGTTTATGTCAGAGCTGATTTATTCAGTCTGGAGGACGAACTCAAGTTAAAACATGTTAACAGATGAAGCAGCAACACGTCAGCTGATCCTCGGCAGCGACTGTCTGACCTCATCAAGTGTCATCACTGTCAATGCAGCCTGAACTTGTTTCAGCTCTGACGTCACATTTGGTTGAATTTAGGTTGTGAAGTCAAAGTCAGGTCAACATCTAATGTAGTGATGCTCAACTAGCTGCCCGTGGACCAAATCTAGGGTCCCATTTATAAACACTGCGTACGCACAAACGAGGCCTGAAAGAAGTGCACGCCACTTCCCACACAAACGCTGTGATCTGTAAAAACAGACTTGATGGGAGAAACTTTGACCCGTGCTGACAAACATAAGGGAGACAAGAAACTGGCAACACAGATGGTGAGGTGGAGCCTGATTGACTGTACGTACATTATAAGTACGGATCCAATGCATTGTTTTATAATGAAGCAGGGTGCTGCGTGGCACAATGAAAATAAGTTAATTCATGATGGGAGTTTTTTTTTCCTTTTTTAATGTAAATGAGGAGCCAGGGGAGGATCCGTCTGACCCCCGACACAGGTCCTGGTGGAGCCCCGAATGTCCTCAAACCTAAGAAACACCCCTGTGGACACCTCTGACCTGTGCAAGGTGTTTGTGACCGTCCGCTGGCCTCCTATCATTTTACAAATGTTGAGTATCCCGGGTCAAACGCCAACATCGATGTTTTGTTGGTCTGAAGTTGTGTTAAGTTACCAGACTCCAACGTCGTCCAAACGTCTCCTGCCAGCGTCATCTTCACATCGGAGTACGTCATTTAATAATGAGGTAAAGACAAAAAAACAACAACATGTCAACAAAAACATCATAATAATCTTAACCCCATTTTCATTCCAACCAAATTTAACAGCTGTCCGACAGAAGAGTCCGGCGTCTTTCTGACGTCATGTTGTGCCAGCTGGGTTCTTATGTTTCAGCCTCTGTCAGCTCCACAGTTTTGTTCTTTTACTGTTGTTTCATTTTCATTTCCTGCGTTTGTGTTGTTGTTATTGTTGTTGTTGTTGATCAGCAGCCGGCAGCTCTTTATAAGAGACGTCACCGCAGAGAAACATCATCCATCAGCTGTGACTGAAGAGTCTGTCTCACTGACACTCAGAGACACTGTTGTTGTCTTCATGTTGTCTCATTGTTTGTTTAAGCATCAACAAAAAAAAATAAAAATAAAAACAGGAATGTGGGTAAAAGACAAACGAGTTTTGGTGTCTCTCTCTGTGGACAGACTCCAACAGGCTGCACATCAGCTTCACAGACAGACAGACAGACAGACAGATGTGACTCACCTGAGCTGAAGTCCATCCTTCTCTCCTCCTCTGAGGTGACGCCATTTTGTTTCCTGACAGATCTCCTCACACTGATATAACAGCAGGCTAACTGTTAGCATCATTAGCATCAGCAAAAACATAAATATTGTTGTTAGAAGTGTCTGAAGGCGGCCATGTTTGCTCCACAGCTTCTTCACCACATCTCTGTCCACTCTCAGCCCGCCTTACTCTGCCTCTGATTGGCTCTCCCTGACAACCAATCCCACGCCTCTTGTCTAAACCTAACCAATCCCACCAACAAAGGCAACCAGAACCAGCCAGTAAGTCTGGGTCGATCAGTCACCATCCTAGGATTGACAAGGTGCCCACAGGAAGGACTCACTGACTTTAACTGTCGGGGTCGGGGAGTGAAGGAGGTCAAGCGACGGCGTGAGACATTTAAAATATGAAATATGAGTAACTTTATTCTGTTACACTTTAAACTGATGATATTCTCAATACAGTTACTGTCTTAGAAACAGAAACCTGAAGGAATTAGTTTTGTTGTATTTGCTCTGACACAATGTCTGAGTGTCAGTTTGATCACATTGTCTGAGTCGGCTGCGAGCGACACAGAGCTGCTGTTTGGAGCTAAACTTTTATCAGATGCCCTGTTTGTCTTTATTCCTGTTGTTGCTTTGACCATGGACGAGGAGCGTCTGATTCATGAAGCTGAAATGAGGATTTATCTCCACGATACGTCTTTATTTCATCACAGAAACCTTCACAGGGTGTCAGCTGTGTGGAGGGAGATCAACATGGAGGGGAAAGTTTCAGGTTAATAACCATCGCTAATAACAACCTGCCAACTGTTGATTATATTGTTCCCAGTCTCCAGTGGAGTGCACAGCTGATTGGTAGCCTGCAGTGTTTGTTAAGATGATGCTACAGATGTGCATATTTAACTGACTGATGTGAACAGAGAGCGTCGCTCGCTTGCTACCAGGACACAGTTTAAAAGTCATATGAGGAATTTTCCATAATCAGATTAAAAAACGACGACGACAGAGGAGACGCACGGTCAGGACACTGTCAGGTGTTCCAGGCCTGGAAAGACCCAAACAAGAGTTCAGGAAGATGATTCTGAAGTATTTTAAACATAATCCATAATATTCAGAATCTGTTATTTAGTTTGAGTGATGTGATGAGACCAAACACTGGCTCCACACAGGGACATTCACGTTGGCACATCAGCCACCGTACTTCCTCCGCAAAGAGCAGCGTCAGAAAAACAATTTTTTATACCTTTGCACCAAAAACAGGAGACATTATGTCTTCAGGTTGCTCATCCATACAACCGTCTGTCCGTCCATCTGTCTGTCTGTCTGTCTGTCCCATCCTTGTGAATGTAACATGTTTAGAACACCTGAAGAGAATTTCTTCATATTCGACACAAACATTCTCTTTGATTCATCAACTGATTGGATTTCAGTGGTCAAAGGTCACTGGGGTGGACTGGTGGGCGGAGACATTTGGGGGGGTTCCCAGTCACTGTGTCTTTACCACCCTCTTGGAATAGATGACATCACGATTGGGTCTGATCGTCAAAGACTTTTCACATTTCACATGTGAACATGTAAATAAATGACTGAACTGTAATTAATGTGAAATGACGGCGTGGCAGGTTCTACAATTATATGAGTCATTAATTAGACACAAGGCTGTGGAGTGACAAAGTGTGTATTTATATTATATCTTTCCATCCCACACACACACACACACACACACACACACACACACATCTTTAGTTACAGTTGGTGCTCAGTGTTGAGTAATAATAATAATAATAATAATAATAGTTGTCTTCAAATATAGAGTGATACACTTTATACAAAATACCCTGCATATTACTGTCAAGTTTAGTTTGAGTGACATGAGGAGAGTGATGTCATTGTTCACTCTGGTCGCCAGCAGAGGGCGCCGCCTCTGCCGCTCTGTCTCACACTGATGGTCGCTGTTTATCAGTTTATCTCCACATTATTTTCTGTGTTTAGTCAGTGACGTCTTTAAACATTTAGTTTGGACCGTCAGAGAGAGAGAGGACAGATACAGAGGACAGAGAGACAGAGGACAGAGAGACAGAGGACAGAGAGACAGAGAGACAGAGGAGCTCCTCTCAGCGCAGACGGTGCGACCAGAGAACATCTTCAGAGTCATGTAAATATATTTACAGAATATAATCTTAAAATGCCCACAGCATCCTTTGAGTGTTTGTTCCTGAAGTCTTTTGGTTGACAGACAGTTGAGAGAATATTTGGCTGAAAGTCTGAACGACAAACCTGCAAACTGATGGATCAACACGTGACGAGTCTAAAATAACTCAGAATCTGATGTTTATAAAGACTTTAAACTGTTTCTGAATCCCAATGATCCCAGTGATCCCAATGATCCCAGTGATCCCATTAACCTCAGCTATTTGTGTTGAACTCTGACTTTCTGTCGACGCTCCATCACCAAAGAGAAAAACTAAACTTGCAGACATTCATTAACTCTTGTTGTCTTTAATTTTTCAGATTAATGAATTTTAACCTACGAAAAAGTGAAAATGAAAAAATCCAGTCGACATCTCAGATGTTTAGTTTTTGTGTGAAACCCAAAGAGATTCACTTCACTGTGACTTGAGACAGAAAACAACAAATGATTTAAAATTGTTAATTAATTCTTAATTAATTTCCTGTCCCGACTCGTCAGTTTTTAACTGACACTGATCTTATTTCTCTGGGATCTTAAAATCTTCTGATGACATCACGTCCTGTGTCTTTGGTGTTCAGAGTGACTGGAAGAACTGAATTTTCTCTGACTGATCCGAACAGTTTGCAGGTCGTCACACAGACGTGGTTTTATATAAACAGTCCTAAATATGAGTGCAAAGGCATGCAGCACCTCCACCTCCTCCACCTCCTCCACCTCCTCCACCTCCCAGTGCAACAACATCAACAGCTAAACCGTGACACACCCCAGAGGAGCTCGGTGTCTCAGGATATAAAACAGATATCAGAACGACGTGGTCAGTGTCAGTGTCCGTGCAGAAGGTGTCCATAAAGTGCTCCTCATGGACGGAACAGTGGCGTCTGTGACGGAGCTTTGACCTGGAGGAGGACCGTCACCATGACGACAACTGCGTGCAGAACACGTAGAATAAAACAAAAGAGTGATGCATTCATGCTGCGCTGATGAAGACAGCGTGTCAAGTAAAGTGAAATTAGTGGAAGATTAAAGGTCCCGAGGTCAAAGCTGAACTCAGACTGTTTCAGGCTGCAGGTGAGGAGCAGGTGAGGAGGACGTAAACAGGACGGAGGAGCGGCGTGTGACAGGAAACGCTGCTGAACTAATATAAATGTGCTGTTTACAGTGACAGTGTTTCTCTTTCCCATAAAGTGAAAACTATAAAACATAAAATGTGTCACTCAAAGTCTTTGTAAACATGTTTATGTGTGTCTCCTGCAGGCTGCTAACTCATCTCCACAACAGGAAGTAAACTGTTGTTCAATAAATAATAAATATGTGTATATGTTTTTAAATTTCTTTGTGTAAAACAAGGTGTCATCTGCGTACAGTTTGATGTGTCGGAGGTCTGTGTTACTGCAGCTGATAGAATCATTAATAAATATAAATATGGAGGGAGTTTGTGGACGTGTTTGTGTGGTGTAAAATAAAAATCCAATCTGATTTTCTTGAAACATTTGAACTCTGGTTTGAACTCGGGACCTTTAAGTTCCTCTGAGGACTGTTAGAGTGAGATCGTCCACGTGGCTGCCTGTGCTCAGTGAGTTAGTGCTGCATTCAGGTTCATCAGATGAACATAATTACAATAATTAGATTTTCTTTAACAATCCAGCTCCTGTCAGTGTGCAGACAGAGACGGACGGAGGAGGATGGAAGAGAGGAGAGATGCTCAACAGTTCATCTGGAGTCTGTTCAGTTGCTGGAGGACGAGTTGTCCTGTTTGAACCTGCGGCTCCGACCTACAGCTGGAGAAACACATTGAGCTGATCTCTTCTGTTAAAGTCTCAGTCAGATCCTCAGGACGTCAGGACGTCAACTGAACCTCAGACAGAATAACAACTGAAACTGTGAGCTCATTAGAAACAGAAGAAGAAACTTACTGGTGTTTTTAATTTTTCAGCCCTTTAAACACAAATCCTATTGACTATAAATCTTAACACCAAAATCATAATTTAATGTTATCACTGGATATTATAATCTGATTGGATGTCAGTCACGAATTGCAGTTTTGTTATTTGGCTGTTACACTTCTGTCCTGTTTATTTTCATGGTGTTGGATACAAAATGTATGAGTGTAAATGTATTTTGATTTTTACTTTAGTTGACTGAGTTCAATACAGAAAAAAATTAAGCCTCTGAGCTCTGAAATTCAGGATGAATTATAAATAAAGGTTAAAATTAGTGACAAAAAGTCTTCTGCTACATTTTATAGAAATCATAAACACTAAATAAAATAGAAGAGTTCACATTTTTTAATAAATGGTTTTAAATCTCAAAACCATTAAATATTTCCTGTATAAATATTTTCTGAAGTTGGACGCAGTGTAAAAAGTTTGGGAACCACTGCTATAAATCAAACAAGGGCTTGTTCATGGAACCAGCTCCACAGGGAGCCTTTAAACTGAGCAGCAGTGGCTCTTGTGTACTGTAAACATTTATTTTTACACAACACACACTTGTAAATTATTGGAATGTAAAATTTTTACCAATGTTTTTTTTCTTATATTTTTTATCTTTCAGGTTGCAGTTCTTCAATAAACAGATTCTCTTCAACAAAGTTGACGTTAAAGACAAACACTGTTGATCTCTGAACTATATCATGAACTGGGCTCCACAAAGGGACTGTTCCTTATTTATGAGGGGGGAGGAGGTGCCGCAAAAAAAGGGGGGGCGCATGTCAAATAGTGTTTTAATCACGAGGGAGGGACTTATGTGTTTTTATTTTGGCTTAGGGGAGGGGCATACAAATGGCTGTATTTTCTATTTATTTTACCACCAATTTTTAAAGAAAATGTTTTGAAAAATTTTAGCTTTTTTTGTGACATCTAAAGAGAACAAGAGGGCTTGTTTGTTAAAAACTTTTGTTTCGTTTAAAACCCGCTGGGGTTTAGAAGGCATGTTTTCTTTAAAAATTGCCAAAATTGCCATTACAAAGCCAGAAAAAAAAAAAAACTGAAATTATTGTTGGATTTTCACATTTCCGACGGTCCTTGAACACATCATGTGTGAAGAACGCTTCCATCAGAACAAAAACAAATAAACAAATCTGATCTTAAAATAGTGACCCTTCAACAAAATCAATTTATTCTATTTTTCATTTAAAATGTATCAAAAAAATAAACTGTTCACACAACAAGAGTGAGAAACTGAGACTTTTTCCAACTCCAGGATTTCATCTTCAACTTTAAACTTTCAAACATCAAAGGATTTTAAGAGTTTTAAAAATCTAATAACTCATTTATGGAGGAGGGAGGGTCACACCCAGCCACCCCCTCCTCTGATAAATAAAGAACAGTCCCTTAGGCTTATTAAATCTATGTTCTTATTTTTATATAAACTTTGGTCATCATGAATAAAGTGACTTTAAACGCATCATCAGAGTTTGAATCAGGCTGTTTGAATAAAGTGAACTGAAGGCTGACGGACTGATTATCTGTAACCTGACGGACGCTGACAGCAGGGATCCATTTAAAGGGCTAAAACATGACAAAACACCAGAATGTTCCTTTAACAGTTTTTATCCACCTGACGATCATGTGACCTCTCGCTGTTATCGACAGCGTGGACGTTTGTTCCCCTCTGTTTGTCTGTCAGGCTCCTCTCTGAGTCATGTGACCTCTCCTTGTCTTCTGCTAACCTTCATCCCGCTCCTCTTCTTTCCTCCGTTAACCCTCGAGTGTCCGTCTCTCTGTCAGTTAAACTCCGCCCCCTCCCTCCTCCTCCTCCTCCTCCAGCTACCACATGTAAGTCTTTGTGGTGTCGATCTGACTTCCCCCTGCCTCCTCCCCCCTCTCCCCCGCCTCCCTCTCCTCCTGCTCCTTGTCCTCCTTGTCCTTCTCGGCCTCGCTCTCCCACAGCGTGATGAGTGGCGGGTACAGCTCGTTCAGGGGGATGGAGGTGGCGTGCTGCATGTACTTCTTCAGCGAGTGTCCGCAGGACTTGTGCTGCTGCACGCGGCGGCCCATGTACACCACTAGCAGCGCCATGATGGACAGAGCAAACATGGAGCCCATCACCGCCGCCAACGCCACGCTGCTGCGCCGGGACGCCACCAACTCCACCGAGAAACCCGCCTCCTTAGTGGTGACGTTCAGACAGGAAGTGTGGATGGGGGAGGAAGGGGAGGAGGGAGAGGAGGGAGTGATGGGAGTGGGGGAGGAGCTGGGGGAGGAATAGGAGGGTAAGGGGGAGGAGGAGTAGACGGTGAGGCAGACGTGGTACTCAGTGGCAGGAAGGAGGTGAGTCAGGTTATACTCCTGAACGTCCACTGGGACCTGGACAGAGACAGAGAGAGAGAGAGAGGGAGACATGATGTCACTTCCTGTCTAGCATCTGCTCCACAGTTTGTTCCTCAGGCGCAGAAAAAAACTACAACTCCCATGAAAAAAACTACAGTCGTTGCAGCGCAGAAACTCCTCGTTAATTCCTTTTATCCTCAGAAATGCTCTCGACAAGTCGTTTTCTAAGTTTTTAGTTTTAATGCTGTCTAAAGATGTCTACATAGTTCAGTCGTCTCTTTCCTGCCGTTATTACAGACACATGAACGCACCACAGACAGGTGGAGCATTTATATCTCTGTGTCATATCGATATCATACCTCTGCTGCAGGCTTCATGTTAACACGTACCTTACACCGTAGCCTGACGTGCACCTCCCCAGAAATGTAACTCCACAGTGTCACAGCGACGCAGACCTCCTGTCTGTCTCTGTGAGCTGAAACCATTTCCCTCAGTGGAAACAAAGCTTTGATTTACTTTAATTTCACAGATAAGAAACAATAAATTGTGAAGACAATAAAGCCTCCACACACTGTGTGTTATTTATCCTGGCTGAAATATGAGCAGAGGAAATCTCTGCTAGCTGCTAGGCTAATTTATACAATGTAAAATGCTATAGGCTTGTGCTAATAACGTTAGCATGTTGTATTTGTTTGGAAAATGTGTCCAGATAAAGACAAGTGTTTGTCTGTGAATGCTGCGAGTTATAGTGAAGCTGATTTGTGTTTGAAACTGTCTCTATGAAGCCATGTTTAATGTGTGTTTAACGTGTGTTTAATGTGTCTTGATTTTTAGGTTTTAACCATTGGTTTTTACCTTTATTTATCCCTCCTGATTATTTTTATTCTATTTAATTGTTCATTTTAATTCTATGAACTTTTAATCACTCCTTTTGTTTGGTTTGATTTTTTAAAATATTTTATGTCTTATTGTTGTAATTTTCTCGTCTTGCAAAACTTCATATAGTTGTTTGAGTTATCCTTTAAATTGTGTCTGTTTCATTCCAGCGTCGCCACGTGAAGCACTGTGGGCTGTGTGTTTGTCTGAAAGGTGAGCTATGAATAAAGCTGAGTGGAGTTGTTTTGAATCAATTACTTTTTCAGCACTTCACAGAAACTCTGACAAGTGTTTTGGAGGTGTAACCGCAGAGCGACGCAGACACGCCACCGCACACGTATGAACCAGCGTTGGAGGCGGGGCTCAGTTTATTCCTATGAAAGCTGCTCAGAATGATCCAACTGTCTCTTATAAAATGACCTTTATTATCAGCACTGCTTCCGCACTGTGTGGCCCATCGAGCAGGTGCACCAGAGACTCTGCTGGCCAAGCTGGCTACTTCCTGTTTAGCACTCTGCTAACTCGAATAGGGATAAAATAATTTAATCTTGTGACTCCTGCAGACTTTCCAAATGTTATTGGACCAAATGGATCAAATCCTGACAGTGAAACAAGTCATTTCGTAGAGGTTGTGATGCTCCACTGATTTACAGACGTCTCTTTCACCCTCTACCTTACGAAAATACTGTCTTTGTACCTCTTTTTAAACTGTCTGATATCTTTACTTTGTTGGATTTCTTCACCCAGTGCGTTCCACAAAGTCACCCCACAAACTGATATGCACATACTTTTCAGAGTGGTGTGAAAATCAGGTGTAGCATCAGAGGGTGGATGTGCTCACCTTGGCAGTGTAGCTGATCTGAGGGTTGTCGATGTGCACGGTGGCGCTGCTCCACCGGGTCAGAGGGAGGGGGGCGTCCTGTTGGTTCTCTCCTGCAGACGAAGCTTCTCCGCTGGGATACAACTTCCACTCCAGCACCACCGACTGGGCGTGCACCACCTGTACAGGAAACATGTTTATTGGATCAGAAATGAGTCTGAATCAGTATTAAAAATAACTTTATTAATAAAACGCATCAAACACACAGATTCACTGTTTGTGCTTCATAAAAAGATGTAAATAAAGATATTAAATTGAAATAAACATAAATCTCACAAACAGAGCAGGTACCTTCGCCAGCACCACCAGAGAGGCTGCAGCGCTGGACGAGTTCCCCAGCCAGGGCTGCTCTCTGCCGGGCTCACCACCCCACCTCGTCCCCCCGCCCAACCACAAGCCCACTGACCCCTGATAGTCCACGAACACTGAGACGCTCTTCGTGTCTGCGCCCTCCGTGTTCCACGCCACACAGGTGTACACACCTGAGAGAGGACGAGAGGTGTCATCCATATTAATAATGTTATAGTTGATCTTCATATATCCAGCTTCCTGTCTGTATCCTGTGTAAATATTCGTCACTGCTCAGATGCTGAACGACCACGAGTCATTTCTACCAACACGATCTGTTTTTATTTGTATCTGCATTTAATTTTCAGCGTCTTTACTGTGATCTGCAGCAGAGTCACAGAGAAGCAGTCTGAAAGTTTTAGATATGAAGAGTGATGTGATTTATCAGACTGACAGACTGACCTGTGTCTGACGGCTCGGCGTGTTCGATCACCAACGCTCCAGGCTCTGACATTCGATGCTTCTTCTTCTTCCTGCTCAGGCCACGCCCCTCCTCTGATATGATTGGTGCAGCCATGGCCTCAGAGCTCACCTGACCAGGTGAGGAGGAAACGTTAAGTATAAGAGATTTAACAAAAGGTTAATGCTCACTGTCACAAACTGGCTCAGTATGTGACAAGAAGGGAGTCCACAAAAGATTTACTTAAAACAAGCTGAATTTATTAAACTAAAATTAACTTAATAATCAATGGAGTGTGTAGATCAGTAAAGTCAGTCATGAAAGCCATGCATGGGTGAGTGTCAGGTGTTCTGTGGAGGTGTTGAAGGTGCAAACCAAAACCAAAGATGCTCAGTGGATGTCAGCTGAAAGGAAGGGAGAGACCAAGTGAACAGATTAGGCAGCTTTTATAGCTTGGAAGCCCAGGTGAGCCTAATCAAGGTAACGACCCTCCCATGTCAGCCAGCTGCCTGATGAGACCGGCTGAAACATTCTCAAAGACATTGGGAGGGGCGTCACACCCCCCCTCTTAAGATCAAGGTTCCACCTTGACATCTGGAACACAAAACATACAAAACTTGAAACAATGAGAAACAACATTTCCACTTTTGACTTGAGTCTACCAAGTGTCCCACTTTACATTGGACGAGCCATCATACAAACTTAGTTCTGTGTTAACAGTGACCTAAATCTCCACCCACCACCAGCTATCTTACCAGATCAAATCCCTCACCCAGCAACCTTGGATCCAGAGGAGAAATTTAAGAATGAGAAATTTACTGGCATCAGAAGCTATTGCATGGGAAAAGGGTCACAACAGAACCAATGGCTAGTTACAAAGACTTATGGAAAACGTTTGGAACAATACCCACCTCAAAATGCAGATTTGTATCTTGCAGGAATTCAGTAACGTGGGTACAAAGCAGTGAGGTAGAGTCAGCAGGAGATTGTTAAACCCACAACCCAAAGTACACATCAAAATGTTGCTCTCAGAATGAGCAACAAAGCTCATCACATTCTTACAAGGTGGCCTGCAACCAGACAAAGCACAGGTCAGGAAGCTCTGCCTATTCAGAATTACAGCTTCTCAAAGCACACTGAACTGGTATTACATAAGTGCTAAACCAAAGTAGCAAACCCAAAGGTTACTCTAAACAAAAGGCTCAATAGCCAACCAAGTCGTCCCAAGACGCACACAAAGAGAACCAAGCTACAACAAAGCTCACATGCAAAACCAAACAAAGCATGATCTGTAGCACTTATCACCAAAATTAGCAGGCCAAGCTACCAATTTGCAGATACGAACAACAGATTTTTCAACCATTTACTCACTGCCACTGTTTACCAACCAAATCAAATTCTACCACATGCCTAGCCATCTTGCAGCATGCCAGGCTCAAACAATTGATAGTGCAACTTACCATCAAGACCAGACAGAGGACATTTATTCAGCAAAACTGGCCACAATTTAAGATTACAAACCCACAAAACAAGTTCACAGGAACATGTGCAATGTTGAAATCAAATAACCACAGAGCTCAGGCTCCCCAGCTCTATCTAACTGGTCACAGCTAATTAATCTCAAACCTAGTCTTCGGACAGATACTGGTGGTGGGTACTTATGCACTGGTTCCACTGGAACCCAAAAGGCAACCAGAAACTGGCGACCTTCAGGAAACCAGGGAAATGCTCCCAAGACAATGTCTTCAACCACATTCTCCACCACACTAAGTGAAAACAACAAACTGGTTGATCTCCTGTTGAGATCAACCACTTCAGCATACAGAGAGGTGTGTGGCTCTTCAAACTAATGTGGCTGTATTCACCAGTTACATGCATCAGTACTTGTGTTTTTCAATTTTCCAAACACATTGGTTTGCAATCAAAGAAAGGGGGAAGCAAATGCTGCTCCCTTCCAGCATCCACAAAAATGAACCACAAAGAACTAAACAAAAATCCTTGTGTGACACTCCCAAAAAACCCAATCACCATGCTAATACCAAAACACTTTAAAGTGTACTACTCAAAAGTGTTAACAAACTACAAGTCACAAACCAGATTGATCATATATAACAAATCAAGCCTCATGTGTAACACTAAGGCAAGATTTAGCCTTACCAAACGGATCGGACGAGCCCCCATTTGTCACAAACTGGCTCAGTATGTGACAAGAAGGGAGTCCACACAAAAGATTTACTTAAAACAAGCTGAATTTATTAAACTAAAATTAACTTAATAATCAATGGAGTGTGTAGATCAGAAAAGTCAGTCATGAAAGCCATGCATGGGTGAGTGTCAGGTGTTCTGTGGAGGTGTTGAAGGTGCAAACCAAAACCAAAGCTGCTCAGTGGATGTCAGCTGAAAGGAAGGGAGAGACCAAGTGAACAGATTAGGCAGCTTTTATAGCTTGGAAGCCCAGGTGAGCCTAATCAAGGTAACGACCCTCCCATGTCAGCCAGCTGCCTGATGAGACTGGCTGAAACATTCTCAAAGACATTGGGAGGGGCGTCACACTCACACACACACACACACGCACGCACGCGCACACACACACACACACACACACACACACACACACACACACACACCTTGTCTCCAGTGGGCGTCACCCAGTAGAACTGGGGGGCGGGGTCAGCGTCTGCCCAGCACTCCAGTGTGATTGGCTGCCCGGCGCTGACGTTCATGGTGGAAGGGAAGGCGTGAGGAGAGATGTGAGGCAGGCAGCTGTTAGCTCCGCCTCCGCCCCATCCAACCCCCACCACCTCCTGCAGCTCTCGACCAACCAGGTGAGGCGGGGAGGAGCAGAGCGTGATGGAGGACTCCAGCATCTTGAGGTGCGACTGGTTGCCGAGGTGAGGCCCCCAGGAGGAGAGACAGTCACAGCGCAGAGGGTTCGAGTGGAGAGACACCTCCTCCAGGGACGGCAGGGAGGACAGGATGTCTCCAGAGAGGAGGCTCAGCTGGTTACTGTGGAGGAGGAGCGTCCGCAGGGAGGAGAGCTCACTGAGGGGAGAGGAAAGGAGAGGAGAGGAGAGGAGGTGCGTGATGAATGAAATAAGAAGAGATGAGAGGGAGAAGCAGAAAAAGAGCATTAAAAAAATTGTTTTCTCTTTCATTTGTTCATGTATGTAAACAGCAACGTGTCCTCATCCTATTTGCTCCACAAATGATGTCACATCCGCAAGAACTTAATTAACGTCACGTTACGGTTTAGGAGGAGAAACACGGGGACAGTGAGCCTCAAAATGACTCAAAGCCAGCAGCACAATAACACGACCCCTGAGCTGGAGCTGGAGACGCTGCGTGGCCACAGACTCTTGTCAGCAGCTAACAACAGCTAACGTTAGCATGAAGCACACATTCACAGCAGTGAGCAGCAACTGTCAGCTGATTCGACCACAAAGACTCAAAGGTTCATTTGTGACGTCTGTTTAGTTTATGTTTGTGTGACTGTGACGTTCATGTATTCATTAGACGGAGCGAAGTCACCGTGGACACACAGCGGACGAAAGAAATGACACTAATACACAGACAGACAGACAGACAGACAGACAGACACCTGAAGGCCTGCGGGTCGATGTAGGACAGCTGTGGGTTGCTGCAGAGCTCCAGTTTGGCGATTTCTGGAAGGTTCTGGAAAGCAGCTCGCTCCACCATCAGCAGCTCCTCCATGTTGTTCAGACTGAAACACAAACAGAGTCAGACGTCTCTTCTTCTTCTTCCAGGAGTTATTTGAGCAAACTTTTCCTGCAGTCCTGAACTGAACTGTAAAAACAAATGTGTAACTGCTGCTCTGCTGATTCAGTCTTATGAGTCCCGTTGGCCGCATTCAGAGTGTTTCTGAACGACCTGGCGCTCACCTGCCTGAAGACGCTTTTGATATTTTAATGTTCCTGTGAGTTGTTCTTTGTTTTCATGTTAAGTTGTTCTGTGTTGTTTGTGCCGCTGCCTGTTTCAGCCGGGACACAGGCAGGAAAAGAGATTTTTATTTTCAACAAGTCTTTTACTGCTGGTTCAATAAAAATCAGATAAAGTTTCATTTAATCAGATCAATCATTTAACATGATCAGGTGGAGATTTTTGAATCAGGATCCAGTGGTTTGTGTCTGTCAGATGAGTCTACAGCTGTTATTTCAGCGAGTCAGAGACACATTTAATCAATAAATATAATTAAGAAATATCAGATCAGACTTTCATCAGCTGATAAGAGACATATTTAACCAATATTTAAATCAATAAAAGGATCTGATCAGAGTCGTTATCAGCTGATAATCAATAATAAAGGACTTTAATCAGAGTCAAGTTTAATCTTGATCCTTGTCTCAGACTGACCTGAGCTCCTCCAGGTGCTGAAGGTTCTGGAAGTCTCCCTGCTGGACTCGGCTGATCGGGTTCCTGTTCAGGTCCAGGAACTTGAGGTTAGGGAGCATGCTCAGAGCGTCCCGAGGAACCGACCTGTCAGGAGAACAGCGGTCACATGAGCCGACGTCACAGTGAGACAGCGTTACAGCGACAGAGCTCAGACTCACCTGAGCCTGTTGTCGTAGAAGGAGAGGCTCTCCAGGTAGTCGAGGCCCAGGAAGGCGGCGGCGGGGACGGAGACCAGACCCATCCCAGCCAGCACCAGGCTGTGGAGGCGGGACAGCGGCAGGAAGTTCTTCTCCTCCAGACCCAGGATCGGGTTCTCGCCGATCATCAAGATCTCCAGGGACGGCAGGGACTCGAACCAGCGACTGTCAATGGCCACCAGTCGATTGGAGTTCAGGTGGAGCCTGCAGGACAAAGCAGAGGGCGCAAAACCCATTTAGACAAGTTATTCCCTCAGGAGGTGCTTGTGGTGGAGAAAGTAGAAGCAGAAAAATAAGGTGAAGAAGAAGAAAAGAAGGAGTAATGACCGCAGCAGGTTGGCGAGTCCAGCGAAGGCTTTGGGTCCGATGGAGGAGATGTGGTTGTGGTTGATGTAGAGCTCCTCCAGACTGGACAGGTTCCTCAGACTGAAGTCCTCCAACTCCTCAATGTGGTTCTCCTCCAGGTACAGAGTCACCAACCGGCCCAGAGAGGACAGACCCATAGAGCTCACCTGGACACACAGACAGAGACAGACCCATAGAGCTCACCTGGTCACACAGCTCACCAGACAGACAGTGTATGGAGCTGCATGGAACCCCAGGACATCGTCATGGAAACAGAGACAAACTGTTGTCTGAGATGTCACTGTGTTTCTCAGCTGTAGTTCAGACTCAAACACTGAACCAGTTATTAATGTCTGATCTGAGGTCAGTATGAAGTTTGATGATAAAGATCCAAAAACAGATGATCTGCTCCTACGGAGAAACATTAAACTAAAATAAACTATGAATTAAAACGTGCTGCGTTTACTGTATCATGTGACTGTAGTAAGGTGTAATAAATGTGTAATAAAGGTGTAGTAACGGTGTAACATGACTGTAAAGGTATAATAAAGATGTAATAAATGTGTTGTAATGGTGTAATGAGGGGTAATAAAGGTGTAATAAAGGTGTAATAAAGGTGTAGTAACGGTGTAACATGACTGTAAAGGTGTAATAAAGGTGTAGTAAAGGTGTAGTAAAGGTGTAACATGACTGTAAAGGTGTAATAAAGGTGTAATAAAGGTGTAGTAACGTGTAATAAAGGTGTAGTAACAGTGTAACATGACTGTAAAGGTATAATAAAGGTGTAGTAACGGTGTAACATGACTGTAAAGGTGTAATAAAG